CGCGCGCACACACACACACACACACACACACACACACACAGCTTGGCCTGTTTAATTCCTAGACCACCCTACACAGAGGTCACCCAAACACTGGGGCACGGGGTGCCGGTCAGCTCAGTACTCTGTCCCCAGGATGTGGCCGCCCTGCAGTACCGCGCCCCCCGCCTCGCAGTAGACTGCCTTACCCAAGCCCTTCCGGGCCCACCCCATGCTGCCCTGATCCTGGATGTGGCCTGTGGCACCGGCCTGGTGGCTGCTGAGGTGAGGCCTCCCCACATCCCCTGTCCTCTCTTCAACTCCCCACTCGCTCAAATTTCCTCCCACCCCTGGCCCCAGAACTCTGCCTCCCTGCTCAGACTCACCGGTCCCAAACACGTGGACTACATTTACTGCGGAGCCTGCTGCCCTCCCCAGGTGCAGGGACCCAGCTGGGAGATGGCAGGTGTGAACTGTGACTGAGTCCCCCCACCTTAGCTGCAGGCTCGGGGCTTCCTCCAGCTGCACGGGGTGGATGGGAGCCCAGGGATGCTGGAACGGGCCCGAGCCCGTGGCCTCTACCAGAATCTCAGCCTCTGCGTCCTGGGCCAGGAGCCTCTGCCCAGTTCTGAAGGTACTTCCCTTCCCACCCAGGCACCTTGACAGTGAGTGCCCTTCTCTTGTCCAGCCTCCATCCTCCTTGCTGAGCCCTTCACAAGCCCCCGCCCACACTGAGCCCTATGAACCCCCACCGGGACCCTCTCTGAGCCCCTGTGAGCCCCTCTCTCTGAGCCCTCTACCCCGTGATCTGATGTCATCCCTGTGGGTATCATGAGGCCACACCAAAGACAGACCCCACACTCCACACAGGGACCTTCGATGCGGTACTGATGGTGGGTGCCCTCAGCGATGGCCAGGTGCCCTGCAGTGCGATACCTGAGCTTCTGCGAGTTACCAAGCCAGGTGAGGAGCAGATCCATCCAACCCCACGTGAATGCCTTCCCCCCCCCCCCCCCCCCCCCCCCCCCCCCCCGCACACCCACAGACCCACTAACCTCCGAATGTCTCAGGCTAAGCGAGGGGCAGGGTCCTGCCCAGGGTCACACAGCCTAGCCTAGCTTCCCAGCCACCAGCTGCCACCAACAACAGACCCAGGCAAGCAGGCAGGGCAGACCGGTAGCCAGCTTGCCCTCTTATCCACTGGGCAGCTCCACTCCCCCTGGCTCTGTTTCCTCGCCTCTGAGCGGTGACAGAGCCCCTTCCCCAATGGATCGCAGTGAGCGCTGAGCGAAAAGACGTGTCTGAGGCCTTTGCTCCAGTCCTGGCACTCAGTGGGGGCTCAGTTCAGTTCCCTCGTCTTCCGGCTCCCTCACGAACTCACTGACAACTGTCAGGTGAGTCTCTTGCTCTTTCCTGGTCTCAGTTTCCTCATCTGTGAAATGGGCTGCTCGGGTGAGATGATAGACGTGAGCACTTTTTGTAACCTCCACCCATGGGTTGATGTGCAGCTAAGGGTTGTGTTTACTGTGCTCCTCCTGTGTGCCTTGTCCCACGCTGGCCTCTGCTCTGGAGGGGGGGTATGCACCCTGCCCTCTGGGCTTCGATCACCAACCCACTGCACCCCACTGCACCCCAGGAAGGGGCGTGGGGAAAAGGACCAGGGCACGCACTCTGAGAATTCAGGGAAGAGAGGCATTTC